TTGTGAATCCATACCAGGTATTTTTTTGATACTAGTTTCCTGTTTAAGAGATAGTAGTCCGATATTTCAGGTTTGAATCCTTAATCCTGTAAAAGTACAACCAAAAATGTTTTTGTCACATTCTTCTTAGGTTATCCATATCTCACAAAACCTGTTTGAAAATACAAGTAGACCATTACTCCTAAGCTTACAAAATGTGCCCGGATTGAGTATCTAGCATTGATCAGATTTATAACGAGATCGTACATCGTTGTAACTTATAGGTAGACATAATTAACACACGATACTTAGTTTGTCAGTGTTGGTGGATAAATTTCAAGAATACTAAATTATGTAAGCCCCCAAATGCCCTGGTACAGCCGAGAGTGGGGAGAGTCACCTCTCCCTCTCGAAATGCTCTCATATGGCCACGCGAATATATAGCCTTTGCCACACAAGTCCTACTCACTGCCTTCTCGTGGCGGGGGTGTTGTTTACGAAAGTGAGAGGACGAAAAGCGAATGTCCGGCGCTTTAACCGGGTTGATGGACATGGAAAGTTCACCTAGGGGAGTTGGAAAACCCTGATTCCAAACCAATGGTGCACATGGGCTGTCTCCAGGATCCTGAAGGAACAAATGGCGTACGAATCAATCGTTGGTCATCGGCTACCATGGGACTGCATCTCCTCACGATGCTCCACTGCCTTGTGGATCAGACATTCGGGTCAAAGGCTCGGGGTGTGGCCCCCTAAGAAAACCACCTGCTTTGGTTTGGGCACTCGGGCAGTATCACAGCCCTCACACAAATCGAATGAGATTTGTGTGGCGCATATTTATCTGGTGCTTCCTTGTACCAATATTTATGTGTTTAAATAAATAAATAAATAATGTAATAATTATTAAACATAAACGAATGTTCTGAATTATATTTACTGACGTTCCAATATCGACTGAAATACTGACTGAGAATTGTATATCATTAGCCATCTGAATTGATCGATGAGCGCCCAATGTAGAACATCCCAGTCCTTTTCAACACATTGCCTTTACATAATTAGTTAGGGATAAAAATGACCTATGTTTTTAATTTTGGTCAGTATAGGTTATTGCAAAATGTCATAATTAGACTATCAAACTCATTTATCAGTTAGTTTTAAGCAAATTGTAGCCTGATACATTTGTATATCGATTCAAGTTACCATACCATATCAATACAGGGGTATGAAATAATTAAGACGAATAATTAAGTATTAGAAGAGTGACAGTATCGGTAGTAGTAGTAGTAGTAGTAGTAGTAGAAAAGATTAAATATAGATAATATGGTTGGGGAATAATAAATAATTCCACGGGATGAAAAGTATAAGTTAATTTAAAACTCAAGATCTGAAAGAAAACAGGATAGACTCATCAATCTCGTTACGAGCGATTCTGAACAATTCCACTCAACGTCGCTAATCATTGGTTACGATCATCGGGAAGATACCAATCAGTTAATCTTTACCTACCTATATGGCTCATTCCAACAATCAATGGCTTCATAGACTGATGCCACGTTTTGAAAGGGTGCGCCTAGGTATCTTTTAACTTGCTGTTACATCTTCCAACATTGTATATTGAAGTAGGCAGTAGTTGGAGATACATAACACGTCGAAATCACCTCAGTCGATAAACATTCACTACCTCATCCATCAACTGATTTGCCATAATTACGTAGTATTCTCTGATCAACCTCAGGATTGCTCACTCGGTTGTCCCAATGTACGTGAGGAGTGATTCAAAGGCATCTCTGATTAATCACTAGTACGCTAAGAATATCGACCACGTTTCACAGCCATAGAGTATAACAAACTGAATAGCTTCTCAATATAATCATCTTTCAGTTAACAGATAGACATCTCACCTATGCAACAGGTAAAACCCTTATTATTTAATTGGTTTCAGACGTCATATTTCCTTACTAAAATTCGAAGAAAATTATTCTTATCACGTAATTATATAATGAATGACAATCATAATATCTTAATTTGAGAAAGGCATCATCACGATCTGACCGTCTATCTTGTAATACCTGCCTTCTCTTTCTGTACAAGTTATCAGTTAAAGAGATAATGTTTATAATCTCTTCAAGTAACTAGTCTTCACACTGAATATTCATACCATTCTGCCTCGGTTTTATTAAAAGTCAGGGTCAACTTTTTGTTTCTTGTGGACCTTTGTTTTTCTGTGACATAAGAAAAAGCCATTCTAGAAATATATCAAGTTATGGCGGATGTGTAGTTAGTCATATGAATCAGAGAAAGTTAACTTGATTGATTATTGTATCACTGAGTGTTTGTTTCGTTCGCAGATCTTTATTTAAACACATAAATATTGGTATAAAGGGGTACCAGCTACATATGCGCCACACAAATCTCATTTGATTTGCATGAGGACTGTGATACTGCCCGGGTACCCTAACCGAAACAGGTGGTTTTCTTACGGGGCCACATCCCGAGCCTTTGACCTAAAGGTCTGATCCACAAAGCAGTGGAGTATCGTGAAGAGATGCAGTCCCATGGTAGCCGATGACCAACGATTGATTCATACGCCATTTGTTCCCTCAGGATCCTGGAGCCAGCCCATGTGCATCATTGGTTTGGAATCAGGGTTTTCCAACTCCCCTAGGTGAACTCTCCGTGTCCACCAACCCGGTCCGAGCACCGGACATTCGCTTTTCGTCCTATCAATTTCGCAAACAACAGTAATGCTATGAGAAGGCATTGAGTATGACATCCCTGACGAAGGCTATATACGAGTAGCCATGTGAGAGTATTTGGAGAAGGAGCGGACTCTCTTCACTCTCGACCGTAAGATGGCATTCGGGGGGGGTGTTCGCAGATCTGAGTGATCTCATAATCTCTTCAAACATAATCAGTTACATTCTTATAGAATTTAGTCTATAGGAATGATAAATATGGTTCGTTACATATATAAATGATGTATATATCAAAGGTCAATTAATTATAAGTGTTACTTAGTATCTAAAATAATCAAGTATAATGAATGAATTAAAACATGGTGTGATGAATTTTTTTGTTTGGTGAATGGTTACTTTGGTTTCAAATATTTTTATCTATTTCAATATAAGATGGCGTTTTGTCTTATTAGGTGGCAATTTTTATAAATTAAAAAAAATCATATTTTAGTGTATAATATTGCCTGATTTCATTCCATAATAACGGACATTTTTTAGCTAAGCTGTTGTGTTTTTGTATTTTTGTTGTTGTTGTTGTTGGTAATTCACTAATCAGAAGGGTTTTGTGGAGATTGGTTGGAGTTAGACATAAATACCATCGGATGCCGACTCAAATGGTCTATCGGTTAAGTGCTCTGCCGCGAGACTAGTAGGTCCTGGGTTCGAATCTCCCGAGGCAAGGTCGTGGATGTGCACTGCTGGGGGGTTCCACAGTAGGACGAAACGGTCGTCCAGCGCTTCCAGGTTTTTCATGGTGGTCTAGCCTCAATTGATTCACTCTTGCAACTATGAAAATTCACTAATCGTCTATTATTTTGTCTTGGATTTAGAGCAAACACTTCAATTAAAGGAGTTCTAAGCCTCAGTGTCATTATTGATTTTTGTCTTATTACGAACCAGTTACTCTTAATGCTTAGTATTCTTGGACAGTACTTCACTTGACAAGTCCCCAAATCAGAACACGGTTGAACAGGAACGTAATTATATTGCAAATAACAAGGTTAGATGAAAGTAGGCATCACTATAAGAAAAAGGTTAGTATATTTATAATTTCTACATGAGAAGATTCTAGAGTCTTGAAGTATCTGTTAGCTCTGATTGGTTAAGAAATAACCAATCACTGTGCCCCAACATAATTCTGCACAAAACATGCCTTTATCCCATTTGTATATAGCCTCTGTCAGGGATGTCCTACTCAATGCCTTCTCGTGGCATTACTGTTGTTTACGAAATTGATAGGACGAAAAGCGAATATCCACAGCTTTAACCGAGTTGGTGGATACGGAGAGTTCACCTTGGGGAGTTGGGAGACCCTGATTCCAAATCAATAGTGCACATGGATTGAATCTAGTATCCTGAGGGAAGAAATGGCGTATGAATCAATCGTTGGTCATCGGCTAACATGGGACTGCATCTTCTCACGATGCTCTACTGCCTTATGGATCAGAGCTATAGGCCGAAGGCTCGCGGTGTGGCCTCCTAAGGAAACCACCTGCTTTGGTTTGGGCACTCGGGCAGTATCACAGCCCTCACACAAATTAAATGAGATTTGTGTGGCGCATATGTAGCTGGTACCCCTTTATACCAATATTTATGTCATTAAATAAATAAATCTTAAGTTTGTAGACGTTAATAATATCATTTGAGCTAATAGTGTATAAATCTAAAATATAACTTATTATGTAAACGATTTTCATATAAGCAAAGCCTAATGTCTTAAAAATTAAACTGAATGTAATGCTTTCCTTAAATTCCTTGTATTATCCATCGAATAAGCAAATCTAATGTTTTAATTCCTAATATATAATGTTTAATTGACGTTAATGAGTTGTAAACATTCAAAGTGTTTCTTTTCCTGATTATGTACATAATATTGTAAAAGCTCTGTACACAATCACTTCAAACAAAATGAAGGTACATTAATCACGGAGAGAGCAAATGAAATTACAAAAGATTTTCTACTTAAAGTATTAACCAATGAATTTTTATCATCAGAAGGGGTTTGTGGAGACTTTAGTAATTTTATATAGTTAATATTATGAGTCAATTGAAGCTAGATCACCATGGAACACCTCGAAGCATTGGACGGCCGTTTCATCCTATTGTGGGACTACTCAGTAGTGCGCACCCACGATCCCGCCTCGCGAGCGAGATTCGAACCCAGGACCTACTAGTCTCGCGCCAGAGCACTTAACCTCTAGACCACTGAGCTGACATCCAACGGTGTTAATGTCTAACGTTTTTTTAAAATTTTTATCAATATAATCTTTTGATTCTGTCCTTTAGGCTGTATGTTGCAGTGATGGAGAACACTGTTGTCCTGATGGTTATACATGCGATTTATCTGTGGGAGAGTGTATAAAAAATTCTCACTCATCAAATGAATCAAAAAAATTTTCATCGAATACTATTCTATCATCATTGCCAATCAAAATTGGAAGCAATGCTCTTTGTCCTGACAGTGATGTTTATTGTTCAGATAATTCAACTTGTTGTGAACATGACAAGAAATGGGGTTGTTGCTTGTTCCCAAATGTATGTTTATTGTTTTACAATTTATAAATATTCTGCTGCTTAAATATCTAGATTTTAAATTCAACCCTTTAAGTTAACTCAGATCATTATTTTTCTAGCGACGAACCCTGATTATTGGAGGTTTAGTCGTGTTGAGCATTAGAGACAGATGTTCCCAATGTTTGCACATTATCTCGAAATGTCTGAAGTTAGGCATGTAAACCATTAAATCCTTCCTCAGTGGTCCAAATTTTTAGTGCTTGCTGTGGAACCTAATAACTCTAGGTTCGATTGCTGGTGGAATCGTGGATGCCCACTACCATTGAGGATTTCAACACTAGGACAGAATAGTTGTATAGTGCTTCTAGGATTTCAGCAATCGTCTAACTAAGACTAATCAACTAAAGTACTCAAACAGGTTAGATTATAAACAAAAAATGACTCAGAATTGGATGTACAAAGTTGAATGATGTGATTTGCATGCAATTAACTTACATCACTCTAAGCCAACCCTACTTCAAGTAGTTGTCTAGTTATTTCCCTAGCGGCTTCAACTACGGATTGCAGATCAGTTCAACCAATAAACGTTAAACTATATGAATAGTTTCCTGTTAAATTTGTAAATAGTTATTCAATCAATCTACGATAAACAGAATAGTAAAACTTCATAGAGATAAGATAGTAGTTTAAAATGTGTATTATCTGGCTATCATATTTTACAAATAACATAATAAACAGATCTTAACTAAATATCCGTTACTCTTGTAATGTTCATAATGCTAATTAATGTCTTTGACGAAGATAAACCACGCAAACAGCATTATACTGTCGATGATACATGAGAGCAAGGTGTATATCATGGTTTCTATGTTGGGTATGGTAATTTATATCTCTTTTACAACTTAGATACTTTTCAAATTTTTTTAATCTTCCTAAACTTACTGTTTTTAATTAAGAATATCGACGAGACTATAATTTATAGACGAATCAATCAGATTTAAGATAACAGGTCATCTGTTCAGGTAAATACTATTTCGGCATTATACCTGATGTCAGTTCGTGATGAAAACCCTAAATCCAATTCCTAACCCTAACCATTAGATGTAAATCATAATCCTAATTCCTCACACAGGTTTGTGACCCTGATGTAGTCCTAGTTATTAGGTGAACACTCTTAAGGTCACACTAGCGTCACTCAAAGGTCATCCATAATATCAGCAATGCATTTCACTACGTTTACTCATGATTTAATAATGCGATTCAATAATCACCAATTGGCGCTGTTTGTTCTCAACTCGAAATTCTATATATCTAATTGATTCCTTAAACTTACATCTGTTCCTACATACATCATCCTTTCTACTTGTTCTTTCTTATTTTTAAAGGCAGTCTGTTGTTCAGATGGTATTCATTGTTGTCCACAAAATACAATTTGTGATGTACAAGAAGAAATGTGTATTAGTAAATCAGGTGATATGATCACTAAACTACAATTAAAATCTACACCTAAACTTCATTCATTCAAATCTAATTCACGTATTAATATTTGTTCTGATATGAAATCATATTGTATTAATGGTACATGTTGTTCCAATGTAAATGATCCATTATCAACACTTTGTTGTCCTTATGAAAATGTATGTTTTAAAAGTTTGTTTATTGTTATGTGTTTATTTATTCAAATATTTAGATATTGGTACATGGGGGCACCAGATATATATGCGCCACACAAATCTTATTTGATTTGCATGAGGACTGTGATACTGCCCGGGTACCCTAACCGAAACAGGTGGTTTTCTTACGGGGCCACACCCCGAGCCTTTGACCTAAAGGTCTGATCCACAAGGCAGTGGTGCATCGTGAGGAGATGCAGTCCCATGGTAGCCGATGACCAACGATTGATTCATACGCCATTTGTTCCCTCAGGATCCTGGAGCCAGCCCATGTGCATCATTGGTTTGGAATCAGGGTTTTCCAACTTCCCTAGGTAAGCTCACCGTATCCACCAACCCGGTCAAAGCGCCGGATATTCGTTTTTCGTCCTATCAATTTCGTAAACAACAGTAATGCTATGAGAAGGCATTGAGTAGGACTTCTCTGACAGAAGCTTTATACGCGTGGTCATGTGAGAGCATTTTGAGAGAGAGGGTGGCCCCTCCCTACTCTCGACCGTACCGGGGCATTTGGGGGCTCTTAACCAACCTCAAGATTCTAGAATCTTCTCATGTAGAAATTATAAATATACTAACCTTTTTCTTATAGTGATGCCTACTTCCACCTAATCTTGTTATATGCAATATAATTACGTTCCTGTTCAACCGTGTTCTGATTTGGGGACTTGTCAAGTGAAATACTGTCCAAGAATACTAAGCATTAAGAGTAACTGGTTCGTAATAAGACAAAAATCAATAATGACACTGAGGCTTAGAACTCCTTTAATTGAAATGTTTGCTCTAAATCCAAGACAAAATAATAGACGTTTAGTATGCACAGTATGCACACATATGCCAATTAGAGACTGATCAGTTGCAGTCCTAAACATCAATGGGAAGATTCAAACTAACAATACTAAGTTAATTTAATTGGGTAACACTAAGATTCAGTAATCGCTTTTCGTTCTATTTTGGACTTATCATCTGAATATATTTGCATCTTATCATCGATTTTTAGCGTGTCATTTAGTTTTATATCGCTATCGGTTCTTAGTTAGGAAATAAAGTGTCTTTCATGTATTTATTGATTTAAAGATATAAACACTGGTACAAGGAAGTGCTAAATATATACGCTGCATACTTCGTTATTCGTTTTGTGTTTAAGAGCTTGAATACTGTCTTGAAGCCCCCGGACTGATGTACGTAAACAGTTGGTGATTGTCGTACTCCGTCATGCTTTACTGTGTTTTTAGACAATCAGTTAGTAGTCAGTCTATTTGTGTTTCATTGTTATCATTATTATTATTAATTAGATCAATATTCAAGAACAGGTCGACAACATAAGTTGATAATTCTTGGAAAATTCAAAAATGTACTTTGAAATTGTTTATTGATCAGTCAGTCACTCCAATTGCTTGACTAATATAACTATAATCTTTATTTTAATTTTAAGGCCGTTTGTTGCAGTGATGGTAAACACTGTTGCCCAAAAGGTACAACATGTGATATGATCAAAGGTGGTTGTATTATTTCACAAGAAGATTTATCAAAATCTAATTCCATTCCATTACTTACCAAGATTCCAGCATTACATGTTACTTCCAAAAATAATACACAATCTACTGTTTTCACTCAAGTTTGTCCTGGTGGTAAAGCAAAATGTCCGGATAGTTCAACATGTTGTAAATTATCTAGTGGGAAATATGCATGTTGTCCAATACCAAATGTGAGTTTCCATCAAAATAGTAGTTTTCGTTTTTATAGATTAGTAATCATACTTAGATAACAAGATTGTAGACTTTATTCTTTTTATTTTAAATCAGTCTGCCTACTTGAATACTTGTTTCTAACTTTCCAACCGCTTCCTATAACCACAGATTCCGCATACTCTTCAACTCGAACAATAGAAAAAAGGAGAGAAATGTTAATCGGCTTTTTTCTTCAAGATTAATTATGTCAGTCAGTCACTCCGTAGAACCTGGTATGTATGTATATCGGTATCAGTTCAAGTTGCCATACCCAAATAGCAGATGTATATATATGAAGTTATCAGGCCAAATCCCAGAGTAGTGAACGTAGTAATAGTATCAGTGATGATTGGAAAGATTAGGCATTGAAGATACGGTTCAGAAAGAAAATATAATTTAGTGAAGTAAAAACAAAAATAATGGTTGTGAAGAATTCAGAATTTCGAGAAAGACAAAGAAAGGACACACCTGCGCTATTGTAAACGATTTTGGGTCATGTTATTCAAAGTCTCTAACCACTGGTAATGATAGTCACTTGGATCTCACCCAGGTAGTCTACACCTATTAACATGGCTAATTCCAACTGTCTATGACTTTATGAACTGATGGCATGTTTCGGTTTTGTCACCACTAGCTTTCTTCCTTATTACTCCTACACCAGACAACATCGCCCGTCGTGGTAGGTAGTGGTTGGGCATAAATAACACAAGTCCAACCACCTTAGTTGATGAAGTCCAGTGTATCTATAATTTTACGTGGTGTTTGTTACCTAATAATCTCTGGAACCAAAAATGGTTACATAATATTTCATTCATCCACATGTTTCTGAGAAGCTTCTATTCAGTTCGTATTAGATAAAATGTTTCCAGGCATCTTATGGGCGTTCAAAAACTTTCACAGGGGATATTTTTGGATTTCTCTATGAGTTACAGCAATTACAACCACCTTTTTTGGGATACGCGACATTTTTAATTACTATATCTCAGTTCAATACGGGGAAAAACAAACGTTTAAAGATTAGAAAAATAATTATGTTTAAGTTGACTGGCCTAATTTTCTAACTTTGGGTATTCTTTAATGAGAAGACGGAGTTGATTTGGGTAGTGTTATGTACATTCCAGACAACCTGACAACATACTTGTTGAAGCATTTTTGTATGAAAATCTAATAAAGGTAACCAGAGGAGTTCAACAATGATGAATGTGAGAAACTTATCCACCTTAAACGATGGAAGATGATCATACACTTTCGTGAATTAATTGAAGCTAGACATTTACTGGACCAGTGATCTAGAAGTCAAGCCCTTGTAGGCGAGACTGAACTTCCTGGACCTGATCTCTATGTGATAGGGTCATGGGTAGATGCGTACTACGACTGAGGAGTCTCATACTAGAACGAAACAACTGTATAGTAGCTCACAGTTTTTAATGGCTTCCGTGACGTAATTTATAAACAATTCAACGATCTGCACTGCCGCTCTATAGGAATTATAAAAGTTCGAATCCGCTAATAATTGTCACGCTCCATGTCACCAATCACATTTATATTTCTTATTTGGTCTATTTTGCGTCCACCACCGCCTATTTTCCTCAATTTGAATAAATACACACTCAATCAATACCACCAGCTCTAAACCAAACAGCTCACCTCCTATTGGTCCGCTATTTGTACACTCCTCTCTATGCCTTGCCTTGAGTTGATGAGTAGCAACCAACCCTCAGCACGGTTCTAATTCAAACAGACGCGGTTCATATACAGGCATACCAGACCGCATCACACCATAAAACGGAAAAATGACAGTTATGCATGAACAAGTCAAATGTGGCTGTGAATAGAGGAGGATGTGAATAATGGAGTGAGAACAAAATAGGAATAGTAAATCGTACAACCGTACGGAATGAGTCAACCGAAAGCCTATGATAAATGGAATATATATATATATATATATATATATATATATATATATATATTCCCGAGGCCGGGAAATATCTATGATACATCATCAAATACCTGTCAGACTATCTACCAGATCTGTCAAGGTAACTCAATCAGTCATTTTTTTCTCTTGCTCACACAACAGTAACATAATTGGAAACTATCATTTCACCTGTTCTGAAGATCCGATTTTCATAAAAATTCATGATGTCTTTCAATGAATATAATAATTTTGCCTTTCATGAGCTACAATTGATAAGCTTATGTGTGTTAATCAATCACATTGTTCAATAATCTCAATCATTGATAGTATTCATCAGTATTAATGTGTCTATGCTACCTACATGATAATACTAATGCAATAGGTGTTTAATCTTGGACAAGTTAACCTCAAATGTTGTTAGAAAAAGGTATACGAGGACTGGTGGTCGCTTCTCAGTCGCCCACTTTATGTAATGATGATTGTTAAAGAAACTGGATTTTTAATGATCGTAGTGACCTGGGAACGTGGCTGCAGTACCGGCGGAACAACTTCTCGATCTTTTTGGGAATTGTTGTGGGCGAGTTGGTTATGTACTTTAAAGCTCTTATTACTGGAGACAAGAGTCCATGGAATAGGAAGAAGTGTTACATTCTTAGGACTGACATTTTTAACCTCTCCTTTATGTTACAGCATCGTCGCAAGTGTTAGTTATCTGGAGGATACAGCTTGCTGCCACCACACCCCAGTAGCAATCAGCAGTATAACTTCATCCTTGGACCGTAAGTTATTACTTTTAGTCCTATGCTTTTGAGATAGGGGGGAAGGTTTGTAGCTCAAGTGAATGACTTAGGTGGGGTTTTGTTCTCTGAGCGTGACCGTCATCACATCAAGGTTGTGATACTACATCACAAACTAGTTTAAACCTATTGGAAAATAAGCTGACTTTTGCTTTTTTTCTTATTTTATTTATGAAATTTGTAAAAACTGTCCCCTTTTTCAAAAATTTTGTTATGTTCAATTTCATTATAGGCTATTTGTTGTGCGGATGATATTCATTGTTGTCCACCAGGAACTTCATGTGACCACAAAACTCTATCATGTGTGAAAGCGAACAATGATCATTCAATTGGAAGCCCATCAGCTAATGAATTATTGCGTAATCCTAAGTTGTTATTTACTGGAGTACGTGATCATGTTTGCCCTGGTCATCAATCTACATGTTCTGATGATCAAACTTGTTGTCGACTACCTGATAAATCATGGGGTTGTTGTCCACTGAAAAATGTAAGTGTTATGCATATGTATATGTATATATTTTTTAAACGGAGTTTAAGTATATATTGTTTATATAATTCTCTGTGAATCTTTTAGAATTTACCCCAGGATTGTTCACTTTAGTACACTAAACTGACTGAATGTTGTGCCTGGATATCATAATCTGAAGACGCTTTGTGGAGATTTCAATATTTTGATAGTTGAAATCATGATTCAATTGAAGCCAGACCACTATGGAAAACCCGGAAGCATTTGACGGTCGTTTCGTTCTATTGTGGGACTCCTCAGAAGTGGACATCCACGATTCCGCCTTGCGAGCAAGATTCAAACCCAGGACCTACCAGTCTCGCGCTAGAGCACTTAACCGATAGACCATTCAGCTGGCCGGCATCCAACGGTGTTAATGTCTAACATCAACCAATCCACGAAGTTTGAGCAATCGTTCGCCACTGGTCTTCAGTGAGTTATTATCTCACAACAGACGTGGTTGAACTCCACTGGTCAGTGCTCTGGCGCGAGACTAGTAGGTCCTGGGTTCGAATCTCGCTCGCGAGGCGGGATCGTGGATGCCCACTGCCACTGAGGAGTCCCACAATAGGACGAAACGGCCGTCCAATGCTTCCGGGTTTTCCATAGTGGTCTAGCTTCAATTGACTCATGATTTCAACTATTAAAATATCATCATCTCTTTTATTCTCAAACACTTTACGTAGCAATGTTCTTATTTATATCTTTCGTTTTTACTTATTTATTTAGATGTCATAAATTTCACTGCTGTCTATTTGTTTGATGTCTCTCTATTTATATTCTCGTAGTTTTCTTTGTAATATTTCTGTAAAATTTCCGTTCCCCAAATTCACTGTCTCTCTCATTGTGTGTGATCCTGAGTGCTGTTAAAGGTACTAGGGAAGAATTGTCAATTCCAGATCATTCAAGTTGTGGAAGGATTCTTCTTTAGGTACATGAAATTGAATCTGAGTTAGAGATAACCTCGACAACCTAGGAACTTGACCGCTAACCTCAGGAGAAAATCAGATAAGTTCGATTACTCATAACCTTTCTGCTATTAGAAGGGAGATGATTGATTAAATGACTGAGAATCGTTTACAATAAAGCATGTATTTATTTATTATCTTCACCTAGATCTCAATTTTCAGTATTCGTCTATGTAAAAATTTTTATTGTCATCTTGAGTAGTATTCTCAGTGCTTGGTCTTTCTCATTTTCAGTGTAGGGTTGTGGGGATTGTTGAGTTTTAATTGAAATCATGATCCGATAAATGTTAGACCACTATTTGAAACCTGGAAGCACTAGGCAGCCGTTTCTTCGTAGTATGGTACTGATAATTATCATGTGATCAATGAGTGACTAGTTTTGAGAGGTAACTGTAGAAGTTCGAGTGAGAAACCGTAACCAGAAGAGTTCAACTGTGTCGGGTGTGAGGTAGTTACCCACCGAAGACAATGAAAGATGATCGCAAAATATTGTAGGTTGGCTAAAGTTAGGCATTACCACCGTTGGATACTGGCTCTGTGGTTTAAAGCTTAAGCGTTCGTGCACGAGACTGAAGGTCCTAGTTTCGAGTTCTGCGTGCGAAACCATGGGTGCGAATTGTTGAGGAGTCCCATACTAGGATGAAACGGCCAGTGATTCCAGGTTTTTTATTTTTATTCCTACTACACTATTTCCACTCCATTATTATTCATCCTGGTCATTTCATCTCGTTGTGTTAATATGGTGTGTAAGCTTAGATCATCTAATTTATGCCAGACTGTTGATTATAATCAGAAGGGGTTTTGTGGAGATTTAGTATTTTCATAGTTGAAAGCGTGAGCCAATTGAAGCTAGACCACCAAGAAAAAACCTGGAAGCACTGGACGGTCGTTTCGTCCTACTGTGGAACTCCTCAGCAGTGCGCGAGACTGGTAGGTTCTGTGTTCGAATCTCGCGCGGCGAGGTCGTGGATACGCACTGCTGAGGAGTCCCTTAATAGGACGAAATGGCAGTCTAGTGCTTCCATGCCTTCCTTGATGGTCTAGGTTCAATTGACTCACGCTTTCAACTATGTTGATCATAACTAATTACTAACTCCTCTCTCTATATGTATATTGTTTTGCAAAGCGTGACAGTACAATCTTGTGCAAAGTTGCACATCACCATATCTATCCATTCTTATAGATAATTAAATGATAAATTACTATTCGGAAAAAATTTATAACTTTATGAACAGTCAATGTAATTATGACTGTCATCCGTTAATCTAGTGATTCGCAAATAGTTATTATGCTATAGACACTTAATCGATTACATAATCCAAATACATTAGTTTATCATTAGTATACAAAATGAAATATTTGAAATAATGTTATTCTGTTTGATTTGTTTACAAACAAACAAAAAGAAAGATTGGTACCACTTATGTATAACTGCGGGGGGGGGGGTAAGTGCTTACATGATAACAATTAAAATAGTAATACTGTTTTAAGTTCTGTCTATTTGATTGAATGGTGCAAGAATCTATTTAATTTAATGATTTAATCACAGGATAAGAGTATTATTGTTTCGATAATAGAATTTGCTTGTTTTCAAATTAACAAAACATGTTGCTAAGTTGTAAGTATACAACGTTTTTTGTGTCATTATTAGTGTGCTGATGTTATGAGTTAAGACGCTAATCGATATCACATGTTATATTGCCTACTCAGCATTCCAATTGTCGATTAGTTTACCTATATTGCCAACAGAATTAGTAACTATTATTGCACAGGCTAACATACCGATCAATGAACTACAATCAAGTCCTTAACACACTTATTGGTCCTCAAACTTCTTCTAACCCTAGTGGTCAATCAGAAGACGATCATAGGATTCAGATTAGTTCTCTATTGTACCCAATTCAATTATGGCTCAAAACTTATACAGTAATATACTTAAGATGAAAATACATCACACCAAATAAGAGATCTTGCTGTAAATAGAATTATGCCGTAATTGGTTGAGGGTAGATCAAACAGTCCGTAACTAATTAGTAATCACTAAGGATCCCATATTCAATCTCTAGTTGAGTCGGGGCCCCAATTCCTGAGGAGTTCAGTGCTTCCTGATTTTTTAATGTTTACTTAACCTACATAAAATAAATAATCTGGCACGTATGAGAATAGGGAGAGTTCACTGTTCCTCTAGAAACGCTCTCATATGACACGTTATTATAGCCTCTGTTAAGGAATACTCACTCACTTCACACAGCAACTGTGTTGTTTACATAAAAAAAGGAAATAAAACCGGACGTCTGTCTGTTAAATAGGAGTTGGTAGAAAATAGGAATTCATCTAGGGGATTTGACAAAAACTCTGATCCTAAACTAATTGTGCTGATTGGTATCTAAGTCACAAGCGAACAAATGGCATATGAACCTACTTTGGTTACTGATTACTGTGAAAATCCATTTATTTATTTATTTAAACACATAAATATTGGCACAAAGGGGCACCAGATACATATGCACCACACAAATCTCATTTGATTTGTGTGAGCGCTATGATACTGCCCGAGTGCCCGAACCGAAACAGGTGGTTTTCTTAAGGGGCCACACCCAGAGCCTTTGACCTAAAGATCTGATCCATAAGGCAGTGGAGCTTCGTAAGGAGATGCGGTCCCGTGGTAGTCGGTGACCAACGATTGGTTCATAAGCCATTCGCTCCTTCAGGATACTGGAGCCCGTATGCTCCATTGATTTGGAGTCATGGTTTTCCAACTCCTCGAGGTGAACTTTCCGTGTCCACTGGACGATTAAAGCTCCGGACATTCGCATTCCGTCCTCTCAATTTCATAAACAACACCCGTTGTGCGAGAAGTCAGTGAGTAGGACTTCCCTGGTAGAGGCTATATACTTGTGTCTATGTGACAGCATTTCGAGAGGGAGAGCAGACTCTCCACACTCTCGACCGTACCAGGGCATTTTGGGGCCTGTGAAAATCCATTGCCTAACATCTCCCTACTGGTTTGTGAATTAAGTGTCTACATTAAAAGCCTCATAGTAACAGTACCCATTACAATTTGAACTTATCTAGGAAATATCTCAAATCTCGTACAAATATTTTCATGATTTTTATCTTGAACATAATATTTATTAGCTCCCCCCCCAAGTTATGCAAGATATTATACGAATTCGATTGATATCTATAGTTAATCTGCAGAAGGTAACTTTGTTTCTGGTACATTCAAATCCTATTTTCTCCAATATACCATATTTATTCTTCTTGCTCTTTTTATAAATCCTATTTCTTGACATTTTTTAATAATGTTTATTATTATCATTATCAGTGATCTAATAACACCATCAATTATTGTACAAGTTTATATACACTTTTTTATCTCATAAAGTTAATATTAAAATAGATCTATGATAAGGGAATATTACTTCGTTACCTGCCTACCTACCTACCCACCCACCCACCTACTTGTTTGACACCCGAACTATCTATCAATTGACATAATATATAAATGACTCCAAAGTCCTGTTAATCATAGCAACATAAAAATTGTTTATCTAATGAACAAAATAGATGTAAGTGTGTTTACTTTTGTCGAAAAAAAAGAAAGGATATGAAATAAACAGAATAAATATCATGAAATTTCATGGTACAGTTAGTTGTATATGATAATCAAATGGATAATTTACTAAAAGAACTGGATTGAACCTTGATTTTCAAAAAGGACTAGATTTTGTATGGATTAGTTTATGTTCTCTAATCTATTCTGGATAGGTTAATCTTGAGGCTTTGATTGTCATTCTACTTATTATAATCATCAGCACTGATTCCGATTCTACTAACAGCTCGTTTTTCTATTGAGAACCAGGAAACACTGAACAACTTTAAATGTACATCAACGGATTTCGGCTTAATTGTTTAGGTGTTAAGCATTCGCAATCCCTATGTTTGGGTCATGGTTGAGTGTTGTCACTGAGCATTCCTATACTAGGCTGTAATAGCTATCCAATGCTTTCTGATTTTCAGTGGTGGTCTAGCTAAGACCATTTCGTGACTTTAAACTGCAAAAAAAATTACTATCTATGCAAGCACTAATTTATTAATAAAAACTTGTTCCGTCAACATTTATTGTTGATTGATTGTTGTGTCAATACATTTTTCTCATCATTGTAGTAAACGAACACTCAGGTAGGGAAAATCAATTATGGATGCGCACTGCTAAGGAGTCCCATAGTAGGACGAAACGGCCGTCCAGTGCTTCCAGGTTTTCCATGGTGGCCTAGCTTCGATCGACTCATGATTTCAACTTTGAAAAATCAATTTATTGATTATTGAAAAATTACAGAGTGTTTTGGTAAAATATGAAAACCGTACATTAAATACTTTCTATGCACATCTTCCATTAGTTGTCTCTTACAAACTTCATTGTCCCTTCATCCTTGTTGTTATTACGAGTACTCTCTTTTTGCATTCCTGTTCTCTCCAGTTCGATCTTCTCAACCTTCTACTGCCAGGCATTGCACTTACGATTGGTGTTACATACTACTATTCCAATGTTTCGCCCAGCCTTTTCGTTAGAGCTTCTTTAGGGAAATAATAAAAAAAATCAAATGTTTATTTAAGTATCAGATTTTGTGTACAAGTTAATACCGGTGTTCATCTTGTTGTGCTAACGAAGTATGACAACTTGGACCGATACATAAATGTGACTGGTCCTACGTTGTAACTGACCTACTGACTAATACCTCTGGACTTACAGTTCGAAAGAATTGTCAACAAACGTTAGGTGATATGTATATATTATTGTGAATATTCAACACTAAATGACATTCCACAAAAAATAATTCATCATCAAATATAACTGGATTTCCTTTTTGTCTTTGTTGGAGACTTAAATGTTCATATTAATAATTCAAGGTTTGTTAGCTGTGTACTACTTTTAATACCTGAACACTAGGAACTAACTGATCCAACATAGAAGTATAATCACATCCTTCAAGTTCAACCGGGATAAAGAAATCTGACATTTAATCTTGTTTACTAACACCAGTCATTCAAGAAATTCTTCTCCAAACATCTGAAGTTAATACTGATATTCGGTTTATCAAAATAATCGTTTGTTGACAGATGTACAAGTTTATAGCAGTTCAATAAGCACACTATCTTCCAATAAACACATTTCTGATATAGTCAAATATGATAGACAAATTAGACCTAATTGATAATTATTTGACTTGCTTACTTACGCCTGTTACTCCCAGTGGAGCATAGACCGCCGACCAGCATTCTCCAACCCACCCTGTCCTGGGCCATACTTTCTAGTTCTATCTAATTGTTGTTCATTCTTCTCATGTCTGTCTCTATTTCTCGATGTGATGTGTTCTGTGGTCTTCCTCTTCTCTTTTGGCCTTCAGGATCCCATGTGAGGGCTTGTCTTGTGACGCAATCGGGTGATTTCCTTAATGTGTGTCCTATCCACTTCAAGCGCTTCTTCATGAATTCTTCCTCCGCTGTAATCTGATTTGTTGTCTCCCACAGTAGCCTGTTGCTGATAGTGTCCGGCCATCGGATCCGAAGTATCTTGCGTAGACAACTGTTAATAAACACTTGTATCTTCTGGATAATGGCTTTCGTAATTCTCCAAGTCTCCACCCCATACAGTAGGACTGTCTTGACATTTGTATTAAAAATTCTGATCTTGGTGTTGGTTGACAATTGTTTTGATTTCCAGATGTTTTTCAGTTTTAAATATGCTGCTCTTGTTTTGCCAATCCGCGTCCTCACATCTGCATCAGATCCACCGTGTTCATCAATTATGCTGCCCAGATATGTAAAGGTTTTCACATCCTCCAAAGCTTCTCTGTCCAGTGTAATTCGATTGGTGCATGTTGTATTGTATCAGAGAGTCTTGCTTTTCCCTTTGTTTATATTCAGACCTACTGCCACTGATGCTGCTACTACAATTGTTTGACTATTGTTATTTATTTCTTCATTTTGATACGCTTATATATAATAATATGTACGTTGGTTTCTGCGTTTCAGCGACTTATCAACATTGTATTTGGTAGTTTATCCTAATGTTTTGTTTGTGTATGGCAAGATACTATCACTACTGTTCATCACAACGGTACAGTTTCAAACGAAGTGAAAATAGGTTTAGAAATATATAAAAATATCTCTCATTGTTGTAAACACTATGGGTAAAGTTAACAGGATAGAGTCTTGACTCTTGCACGCTTCAATCAGGTTGATGATTGTTCCATTTTCAGCTAATCATCGTTAGGTGATTCTTATATAAATTTTAATGTGAACTTTAATGTTTTTAAGAATGTGTATCTTTGTTTTTCGAGTGGTTCAAATACACATTGTTCTCCTTTCCTGTAGTTTTTGTTCTGGTCTGGGATGAGTCGAGTAAATTATGGAGTACGTTTAACGGCATTTCGACAGTAGAATATTACAGATTATTTTGAAAAATTCAATCATTTTCCTAACAAAATTAATAAGTTACTTTAGTTATGATAAGTAGTTATAGGTGTCTGGTTGAACTAAGTTAACAGATTCTGGATTTTCAACTATATAAGTTTAGAAGCCAAGATGGATAGTGGCTAGCATTGGAATCCAGTTTGACGCGCGTTTCGTCCTATTTAGGACTCGTCAGCTGGATGTACCTGCATCTCAGACTTGTTGATGTTCACTCTGTGACTCGAACCCAGTACCTTTCGCTTCAAACGCCATCGCGTTACCCACTCGGCCACGGAGTCGTGATATAAGTTTAGATTTGTTGTCAAGTCAATTGAGTACAATAGACTTTCCTAAATACGTAATGATCTAAAAGTTTTTCTCAGTTGATATTCGTTTTAAATCTTTTGTAAAGAAGATAATATTATTCTGTTTTTTTTAATTTTTACTTCAGGGCGTTTGTTGCGGTGATCATTTTCACTGTTGTCCAGCTGGTTCAGTTTGTGATTTGGATACAAAACAATGCATTTTACAACTTGAATTAAATCAATCTACCACAAAAATAGTTTATGATGGGTTTACTATGCACATAGCTAATCGAAAGTCATCAGATCGTTTATATTCACGACCAGTAAAATCAATTAGTACTATTGATGCTTCTGTACAAGCGAAATGGTGTGGAGCATGTGGTGACACTCGGGCTTGTTGTCCAGATGCTGCTTTCAATTCATGGTCATGTTGTCCTTATGTAGGCGTAAGTTAGAATGCTGATTCTTATTACCAGTTAATTTTAAGTGAATTATTATGTTATATTGATAGGTCTTGCTACAGATACACCTAAACTGTCTTCCCAGTCAGTTCCAATAACCTCAAATTACGTCTACATATCAACTGGAACACTAGGGAGACAAGATACGAATTGTGAATAAAAGCTTTACTCCAAGGTTAGTTTATGTACAGAAAAAGGGGAGTATTTATAGAGTTACACATGACCTTGGCTTCTTGAAGTTCTTGCAACTATGCTAAATATAGTAGCAGCAAATGTCTAATCAATACAGTGACACGTGATTCTGCACTTTCTAAATGTTTCTGCAAAGATTCTATTTAAAACTGATTGGATAAGAAGTTTTCTGACGTTTCTGGTTTTCTAGAGACTTTGATGGAGGGATATTGTGCGACTTCTCCATCAGTACAAATTGTTAAGGGTTCAAAGTAAATTTATAAGAAAATAATGATAGGTCAGATGTATAGTATATAAAGGCACCAATCAGAACTTAGTATTAGACTTTTAGGTTTCTGTGGACAATTCTCAGAACTTTTAAATTTATAATCATGATTGTTTTTGCCATCAAGGAGTAAAAATGAATTGTACTAGATGTTTAGTAGCCTTGTAATATCTTACTTCATTTTGATAGTGTGTATATCGTTATCGATTTATACATATCGTCAATCCTTGTTTATAATCATCGACTTAAATCGCGTTAGTGAATAACGAAATCAGAGAATGAAGTTTTGAATACCTATATCTTGTAGAACCGTTGATCAGAACAGATAATCAGAGAGACGTGGCGAAGGAAGCGAAGAGGAGAGAACGAAGCGAAACGGATCACAGAAGTCATGTTAGTTAACTCCATTTAACCAAGTTTGAATCGGTATCTATAGTCAGACATCTGATGTGTAAGATAAGAAATGCACACATATGTGCTTACATAAAAGCAGTCAAAGTCGATAAGCGAATAATGAACAAGGTCAAAATGCGACTCTAGGTGAATGAATAAATTGACCTGTCCGGAAGTTAGAATAAGCTCTGCGGACTTGACATAACAACCGACACTACAAATATATCAAATGCTTAGTTCTCGTTTTGCAAGAAATGTTTATAACAGTCAGATCAACAGTAATCATAAATCTAAACTTTTGATTCTCAATACTAGAACAGAGCTTGACCTATTGGTATTATAATTATTATTATCATTTGTTAAATGGATGAACTAATCGGATTAACACCTATTGAATGTTTGCACGAAATTTATTAAGAGCAGTTTTTACATAATTGAGTGATGAGATCGATGCACGTATAGTGAAAGCCAGAGCGGCTTATGCCAATCCGGGCCAACTTTGGCGCCTTCGCGGTGTTAGTCTGGCTGTAAAAGGTCAGATCTACAACGCGTCGGTGAGAGCAGTTTTGCTCTATGCTTGTGAAACCTGGCCTCTCCGAGTTGAGGATGTTAGACGACTCTTTGTGTTCGGTCATCGTTGTCTCCGAAGGATTGCTGACATTCAGTGGCAACACCATGTTAGTAATGCAGAAGTTCAACATCGTGTGTTCGGGCTCATAGACGATAATTCAATTGGTGTTACCATCTTGAAACGCCGACTTCGGTGGCTTGAACATGTTCTACGAATGTCGTCCCAGAGAATTCCACGTCGTGCATCATTTGTCGACGCTGGGACTGGTTGGAAAAAGCGGAGAGGTGGTCAGTGTATGAGGTGGTGTCGTGGTATGAAAGAAAGCTGCAAAGGGCTAGCTTCTGTTGGTCCTTCACGACTCCCTGGTTGGGGTCCGAGAGATGGTGCAACACAGTGGCTAGAGACGTTATCAGATATGGCTCAGGATAGAAGCCAGTGGCGATCCTTCTGTAACCTTCTTTTACTTTCTACATAAAGAGTGGTTCTAACTTTCTTAACTGAAAGAGTCTTCCGTTTGTACTTTTCAGTTCCCCCCACCATTACTCTCCTCTTTTTTTCACTCTATTTTTTTCTCTTCTCATTGTCACTGTTTTGTGTGGCGCATATATATCTGGTGCCCTTTTGTATCAATATGTATGTTTTTAAATAAATAAATAAGTTTTTGCATCATAACACAGATATCAGTTCTTGGTGAAAAAAGAAAAGAAATTGAGGCCTGATCTTTTAACCTCTTACTTTAAATCTCAAATGTTAATCTAAAACATTGTAGTAACTTTAAAAAAATCAATTTAGGTTTTTATAACAGTTTGATAAAACAAATAATCTATAATTGAAATCATGAGATGATTGAAGCTAGACCACCTTAGAAAACCTGTGAGCACTGGACGGCCATTTTGTTCTATTGTGGGACGTCACTTGGATGAGTGAACATCAACTCTGAGATGCAGGTACATCCAGTTGTCGAACCCTGAATAGGACGAAATGCGCTTCAAACTGGATTACACTGCTAGCCACTATCCATTTTTGCTTATAATACTCGTTAATTAAGGCTATATCGAGGCAATACGCACAGTACGCCAATTAGAGACTGACCAGTTGCAGTCTTAAAAAAACATCATTGGGAAGATTCAAATAAACAATACTAAATGAATTTATAAAAATTTTCTATTTTATTATTCATTTAGGGAGAATGTTGTATTGGACAAAATATTTGTTGTCCTCCTGGATCACGTTGTTTAAATAATGGGAAATGTGAAAAGATTTCAAAGAATATCATGAAATCATTTGCACCAACTTTAATACCATCTATTTCAAGAAATAACAATTTACAAAGATCATATTTCATTCAACAAAATAATGTAAAGGAAAACTTTCATATAGAAATGTCTAATATTGCTAAACCTGCTCAAAGAAATCTTCTTCTTCTGTAAGTAAATTTTGATAATATTGATTATAGAACCTGTTTATTGATTTGTTCACTTAAAGTTCATTTGATCAATGATTTTATAGAGTTAAGATCATGAGTCAATTGAAGCTAGACCACTATCGAAAACCTGGAAGCACTGGACGACCATTTCGTCCTATTGTGGGACTTCTCAGCAATGCGCATTCACGATCCCGCACTCGCGAGATTCGAACCCAAGACCTACCAGTCTCACTGTTGAGGAGTCCCGTAATGGGACGAATCGGCCGTCTAGTGCTTCCAGGTTTTCCATAGTAGTCTAGCTTCAATTGACTCATGATCTTAACTCTATAAAATTACTAAAATCTCTACCAAACCCATTCTGACAATGATTTTGTGTTTCATCTACGATACTATAATGTTTATTTCATTAGATAACTTTGATTTAATCAACACAATAATAATTTTCACATTTATTTGTTTAAATGCTCATTCATACCTTAATGTCTAATCAGGAAACGATGTTAGGGAGCAGATTTACATGTCTATCATTTTCTATTGGTCTCTGTCAGGGAAGTTTTGCTCACTACCTTCTCATGGCATTACTGTTGCTTACGAAATTGAGAGGACGAAAGGCGAATATCTGGCGCTTTAACCGGGTTGGCGGACACGCAAACTTCACCTAGGGGAGTTCGAAAACCCTGAATTTGTGCACAACTTAGTTCAAAGTGATACAAAACTGAATAATCAGTTTATAATTAATTGGATGCTTGAATATCTGAACTACCTGTTCCTAACATCAACATATCTCAACAAGTCACCTCTCTTTTTTTAACACAACATTATGTCTACTCATCGGATAACGTATTTAGGCGTTTTGATAAAAAGTTTATAATCTTTCACCGTACAACTTACAAAAATGTACATTCAGAGACATCGTGGTGGATGGCAGGCTATATGCATTGAAAAGAATGATCATTGCTCAGATGTCGATTCCTGAATTACGAATATCTAACTGGTGATCACTCGATGTTTGTCGTCAGGATAGATGAAGAAATCAGAAAAGGAAACATGTTGAAATACTTTGTGTTGAGAATTCTATATTGTACCAAAAATGTAATATTGAATAAAGCCATTAATAATAATAATAATAATTTATTGACACTGAGCTACGTAAAAAGAGTTTTCACGTCATATTGGAGCTTACAATTAATAGGAATATAAGGAGGCGATAATCCAAGTCCTTAATGATTATATAATAGAAATATGTGTAACAGTTTTTGTATGGAATAATTCTTAAAGTTTAAGTTCCCTCCCGGAACTTATCTGCTCGTGTACAATATATCCTATCATTACTTATCTATTACTGTATTAAATTACATTACTTCCATTTACTTGGGTATCCATTTAGGAAACATTGTGCAACCGTGAATAAAAACCACTTATCAATATTATTTTCATCCTTTACACTTTTAAGCTATTACTTCTAATCATTGCTGTTACACTGATTTCGCATTTGCGATGAGATTCTTTCACTTCAGATGAAAAACTTCGCTCTAAAACTGTTGTGCGTCAGTGTCAGTTGATTATATTAACTGTTTCATTTACATTCAGTCTCATCATAACTGATGAGTTGGTATCTGATGAAGAAAAGCTGCATTGTCATTTTCCAACTAGTGTCACTTGTAGTGTATACGAGATATTTGTCTACAGTAGTCCACTTCGTTCTACTTTATGTGTGTGAAACATTGCCATTAATATAAGAGAAAATTCGTACTTTAGTAGTATTCGATCCTGAGTGTCTTCGAGGCATCACCGAATGGACATTACTGAGATTAGGGATAGGATACTAGGTAAGGATGACAAGTCAATTAATGAGATGGTAATTCCTCCTCAACTCAGGTGGTTGGAACACGTATAACGTATGCTCAATCACTGCCTACGTCGACGGGCGTTGTTGTCTGTTGTTGGAGTAGACTGGATGAAATCTAGGGGCTCCCAAACCAAAATATCGCATTAATCCATGAAGTCATTGGCAATCGAACTGAGCCATATTAATGGATGTAGACTACCTGGTTGGGGTCTGTTTGATTATCGTAACCAATGATTAGAGACTTCAGGTTATACATCTCAAAATCGTTTATAATTGCACAGATGTATTCACTTCTTGTCTGCCTCTATAACCTGATTCCCCAAATCTTCTTAAGCATTTATGTATTTTTATTACTACAATCACTATTACTACTTCTACTACCTTGGGATTTACCTTGAAATAACTTTATCTCACTGTGCTAATGTAGTATGGCAGATTCAATCTATGCACATATATTTCAGGTTCTATATTGAAAAACATTATCTGGTATTGTCCTAGTCCGAGATTATCTACAAAATGAATAGGTTTCATACATTCACTATAGCATTTTTTTACAGTTTACCTTGGATTTTATTATAATAACCTATGTCAGCCTCCAAATGCCCTGGTACGGCCGAGAGTGGGCCCGCTCTCCCTCTCAAAATGCTCTCACATAGCCACGCGTATATAGCCTCAACCAGGGAAGTCCTACTCAATGCCTTCTTGTGGCGGGGGTGTTGTTTACAAAAGTGAGGGGACGAAAAGCGAATGTCCGGCGCTTTAACGGGGTTGGTGGATGTGGAGTATCCACCTTGGGGAGTTAGAAAACCCTCATTCCAAACCAATGGTGCACGTGGGCTGGCTCCAGTATCCTGAAGGAACAAATGGCGTATGAATCAATCGTTGGTCATCGGCTACCATGGGACTGCATCTCCTCACGATGTTCCACTACCTTGTGGATCAGATCTTTTGGTCAAAGGCTCGGGGTTTGGCCCCCTAAGAAAATCACCTGCTTCAGTTTGAGCACCCGGGGCAGTATCACATCCCTCACACAAATCGAATGAGATTTGTGTGGCGCATATATATCTGGTGTTTCCTTGTACCAATATTTATGTGTTTAAATAAAATAAAATAAAATGTCAGTACTTAAATTACACTAAAATTGCAATATTTCTAATTCATTTCCTTTTTTCTCAATCACTACATATTAGTGTTCGTCAGTATCGACGTCTTAAACGACAATTACATACAATTTGTCCTGATTCATTACATTATTGTGGTAAATCTGAACAATGCTGTCTTTCTAATAAATTTGGTTATACTTGTACACCGAATAAGGTATGTTTGTTTTTATTTTGTATTTTTAATTCCGAATCAAAATGTAATTGTAATTTTTATTAATTGTTGTTGTTTTGCACATTGAAGGATTTTTGGCTAACTAAATGAATTACTACAACTTTAAGTAACTAGAGTGATTTTGTAATTAACATTCCCACCACGCGAAATTAATAAGTAGGATTTTCCTGGCAATGATTGTATATGCGTGGTCATATGGGAGAATTTTGATAGGGAGATCGGACTTTCTCCACCCTCGATCATACTAAGGGGAGTGGATGTCCGGCACTTTAACTGGGATGGTGGATATGGAGGATTCGCCTACGGAAGTTGGAAAACCCTGGTTCTCAATCGATAATGAACATGGGCTTCAGGATCCTGAGGGAACAGGAGGCGTATGAGCTTATTTTTGATTACCGGCTACTATAGGATTACATCTCCTGACGTTGCTCCACTGTCTTGTGGATTAAACCGCTGGGTGAAAGACTAGAAAAGTGGCACTTTCCGTGCTTCCAGGTTTTTAATGGTGGTATAGCTTAGATCTACCCATGAATTCAACTAATAAGATAATTCGAACCCAGGACCTACCAGTCTCGCGCCAGAGCACTGAGCCGGCATCCAACGGTGTTAATCTCTAACTTCAACCAATGCACGAAATTGAGCAACCATTCACCAATGTCTTCAATGAGTTGATATCTCACAACAGACGTGGTTGAACTCCATTGGTTACTGCTTCTCATTAGTACTCCAGGAAATACGTTATGGAGCCAGCCAATCGGTTAAGTGCTCTGGCTCGAGACTGGTAGTTCCTGGGTTCGAATCTTACGAGGCGGGATCGTGCATGTCCAGTGGTGAGGTGTCCCACAATAGGATGAAACGACCGTCCAGTTCTTCTAGCTTTTCCATAGTGGTCTAATTTCAATTGACTCATGATCTCAACTATATAAAATTACTAACATCTCCACAAAACTCCCTTCTGGTAATAATACGATAATTGTTGTTTTTTTATTATAAAAAATTCTGTGTTATCTTCAAATTTTCCTGGACAATTTTTTGTTTCTTTTTTTTTTCAGTCCATATGTTGTGGATCTAATATGGATACTTATTGTCCAATATACAAAGATTGTTCTTTAGATGGTAAATTCTGTATTGATAAGTATTAGTTTCACTGTTATCATAACTATTGAAAGTTGGATAATTAATATATAATGGTTAATTCATCATTCACTATTATTATCATTATGTGTGTTTGTGTGTGTGTGTGTGTGTTTATGAATTACTACACATCTTGCCATTATTATCAATTCGGATTAGTAACCTCTCGTACCCATGTTACTTTTTTCTCCTTGTTGTTGTTGATGATTCGATTCAATATTTTTTCTATTTTGTTCATGATATGTTTCCATTTGTTTATCGAATAAATTTCCTTCGATACTACTTATATTGAGTGTTACTTTTCTTTTTGTTTTATCAATTGGTTTTTAATCGTCATGGTAACAAAAAATTTAATGAATAAATGAATGAAGTTGATTTCCTATATTCAATTGACTAGTCCCGGTTAGAATAAAATATCCATCCTAATCATTCATAACTAATCATAATTCCTTTATTCTATTATTGTTGATTCTATTTTACACGTTAATGTTTTCTTCATTGAATAATTAACAGCATTTCATAGATTATCATTATTGTTGTTTTGTTAGTTACTTGTTGGTTTACATCTGTTCATTCTGTTTAGACAATCTATAATGAATAAGAACACGGGTGGGGACAATTGCCTCCCGTCCTACACCTTATCAATCTTTTACTGGAATACATTCAATACCTGATCATCGTTATATACTACGTATGTGGACATAAGTAGCTCACATTACAATTCAACTATATGATTGAAATATATATGAGACCGAGAATGGTTTAATCATTGATATATATATATATATATATATATATATATATATATATATATATATATATACCATAAACTAGTTACAAACATTAACTTGTTAAAGTATCTGTAACGATTAGTTGGTTTACATTTGTTCATTCTATTAAAACTATTCTATAGTGAACAAGAATAAGGGTAGGGACAATCGAATGTATTTGACATGGAAATCACAAACTATCACACTAAAATCTGATAACCATACAGAAAAATAGTTAATTTTTCATAGTTGAAATCATGAGTCAACCATGAAAATACTGAAATCTCCACAAATCCCCTTCTAAATATAATCATATACTCACGAGTGACTGACTTCAAAGGATGTTTCCTTGAGTTCTAGTGGGAAGTAGTGACCAGTGGAGTTCAAACAAGTCCGTTGTGAGATAGGAACTCACTGAAGACAATTGTTGAACGGTTGCTCAAACTTCGTGGATTAGTTGAAGTTAGACATTAAAACCGTTAAATGCCGGATCACTGGTTTATCGGTTAAGTGCTTTGGCACGAGACTGGTAGGTCCTGGGTTAGAATCTCGCGAGGCTGGGTCGTGGATACACACTGCTGAGTAGTAGTCCCACAATAGAATGAAACGACCGTCCAGTGTTTCCAGGTTTTCCATGATGTTCTAGCTTCAATTGATTCATGATATCAACTATGAAAATACTGAAATCTCCACAAAACCCCTTCCAAATAGTTAATTTGCAAATTACCGATTAATTGTCCCAATCTTGCTCATTCCTTCTGCAAATATCCATCCATCTCTGATTTCATTGTTCATGCATTTTCGTACCGATTGAGCTACATTCCTGTTCGTTCCTTATCGATCTCCTGCCAAAATACATTCTATATCTGACCATCACCATATACTACTTATGTTGATATAACTTGTTGAAGTCTCTGTAACGATTAATACGTCTATATATCTGGAAAGGGAAAAGCTTCCTGTAGTAACTGCATAAAAAGTAATACTACATATGATACCGAAAATGACTGGCAGTAGTTATTTAATGTTAACGACAGTTTATCAATAATCAAAGTGTAAACTATGAAAATGCAAATATAAGAGCTTTCACGTCTCTCGCGCGAGACTGATGGGTCCTGGGTTCGAATATCGCTAGACGAAATCGTGGATGTGTACTGTCGAGGAGCCCCACAATAGAACGAAACAGTCATCCAGGTTTTCTATGGTGGTCTGGTTTCAGTTGACTCATCAACTAATCTATGAAGAAATGTATGAGGGTTAAGAAATGTTAATTATGATGAAATATACAACAATTGTTATTAGTTCATGTAAATACTTTTTGTGATGTTACACAACAGTAAATAAAAGCTAAATTATAAATCTAGAAATTGCTGGGAACAGGACTGCCTACTGAATATTAATAAGTAGTAGTAATCAATACACATGACATTTAATTGACAGGACAATAAAGAATGAAAACATCCATCACTAGCTGGAATAAATATCTCATTGTCCAGAATATGGTCCGTTTAAATTGTACATTATTATATTTGATCAATTTTGTCCACACGAGGTTAAAGTTGATCATCAGATAAACACATGTATTTTGAATTGACCATAGCTATTGTTAAAATTGTACTATTCAGATGTTGTAAACAAAAGGGTATAGAAAATGTTCTGTTTTATTTGAGATCAGATGAATTCCGATTCTAGCGATGTTTCTACATCAATCTATTACATCACATGCAGCATTGGTCGTGCTCTGTTTCTTGTACCCATTCTTACCAGTACATTCCTGTAATAACATTTCACCATATTGTCATCAATTTAGGTAAAGCACATGGATACGGAGAAAAGGTAACCCAAACTGTGTTTCGACGGCTGAGATTGACTCTGATGTAAGTTGTGAAGTAACACTGTTTGCGTCCAAATCGATCAGGTGCGTGGTTAGCACAGACCACCAAAATCAGTAACCTGTATCTAAAATCTACTGGGTACAAGCTAGGCAGGAAGGACTAGCTTCGATAGAGATTCTATTGTATTCTGATCATAAACAACAAAACGCCTCTAACACATAAGGAACTACATTATTGCTATCCAAGCAACCACATGAAAGACGTATAGGATGAGAACCTCATCGATCCATCCTTTGAAATAAAGGTGATTATAGTGAATGTCATCCAATGCAACTTGCACACCAAAGATGGAAGCGATGATATCAATCAGTTTTTTGCAAGGCTGCAGAGAAACGCCGAGAGAGGTATAAGTAATTGAATAAATTACAAAATAATCTACACGCGAAACCGAAGTTTAAAAAGTGGTTCTATATTGATTAATATACATAAATTAACTACAAACATCAATTCTTGAAGTATCTGTGGTGCTTAGCGCGTCTATAAATCTGAAAGACAAAGGGCTTTCTGAAATAATAACAAAGAATTATTATGATATACGATAGTGCAAAAAACAAATATGTCTATTCTTCATAACAGTTTGTCAACAAGCAAAGAGGGAACGAAAAGAAACTACTTACTGACGCCTGTCACCCCTCATGGACGAGTATAGGCCGCACACCAGCATTCTCCATTCAACCCTGTCCTGGGCAATCCTAGGACGAAACGCGCGTCCTGGATTCCACTGCTGGTCACTATCCATCTTTGCTTACAATGCCTGTGAATTTAGGCTATATCGATGCAATACGCACAGTATGTACATATGCCAGTTAGAGACTGACCAGTTTCAGTCCTAAAAACATCAATGGGAAGATCCAAACAAACAATACTAAGTGAATTTAAACTTCACCCCCATTGCACAAGCAAGTGGCTATCAGGACTCAGTAGGTGAGTGGATAACGCGATGGCGTTTGAAGCGACAGCTACTGGGTTCGAGTCCCAGAGTGAACATCAAGGAGTCTGAAATGCAGGTACGTCCATCTGACGAGACCCAAATAGGACTAAATGCGCGTCCTGGATTTCATCTCTATCCACTATTCATCTTCGCCTGTTGTCACTGATATACTTTAAAAGATAATGATATCCGTAAAATATTTTGTGATATATTTATACTACTTTTATGTTGATAAGTAAAATTTGTTGTATTCTGAAAAAAATTTAGATATGTGTTTTGATGAGACTATAATTTAATGGACAAACCAATGAAATTTAAAATAGCAGGTTTTGGATTTCGGCACGAAATTCACTCACTCATTTGGTTAAATATCATTTTCGCATTATAGCTGATGTAAGTCCGTGGTGGAACTCGTCACCATACATCAACTTCATTGATTATGGGAAGGCGTTTGACAGTGTTGACAGGAAAACATTTTGGAAACTTCTTCGACACTATGAAGTTACTGGAAAGATTGTCAATATCACACGAAATTCATACTACGGAATACACTGCGAAGTCGTGTATGGACGATAGACGCATTTCCAGTAAAGACTGGAGTTAGACAAGGCTGTCTACTTTCCCCCTTCCTCTTTCTTCTGGTGATTTACTGGATTATGTAGACCTCAACATCTGAGTGGAAGCATGGGATACAATGGACATCTCAGAATCAATTAGACCTAGCCCTTCCATCCCATACACACGAACAAATGCAGATGAAGGCAATTAGTTTAGCAGCAGTCTCTGCATCAATAGACCTCAACATATACAAAGGAAAAAGCATTATCCCCAAATACTACACGGAGAACATCAAATTGATTACACTTGTTGGAGAGGCTCACCATCGGAAACAGCATTCTTTGAGAAAGAACAAACCAGCTTCCAGCTGAAGAGGAAACTAAGGAAAGACGTTGGAAGTGGATAGTTTACACATTGAGGAAATCACCAAACTACATCGCGAGTGAAGCCCTAACTTGGAATCTTGAAGCGAAACGGAAAAATTGAAGGCCGAAAAACCCATTGTGCCGAGAATTAGAGCCAGACATGAAAAGGATAAATAGGAACTTGAAAGGAATGTTGGGGATAGGGTTGGATGAAGAGTGCTGGTGATAGGCTTATGTTTCTCCACGATGGGTAGCAGGCGTAAGTTGTGTATAATCGAAGCAATGATAGATGACGTAAGGTGTTAATTGAGTAGGTGGTTGTTCATAAGCATACACATTGGATAACCTGAGCACTAAAATGATCCTGAGTTTAGAACCCAGCATCGACTGTCACAGGTGCCCCATTTACCAGCAGCGCCACGAGGAAGCTTTAGGTTGAATTTTGAAACTATCGAAAATTCGTTATACATTCCTACAATTTTTCACATA